CTGCAGAAAGTAATAATTAATAATACTTACTCTATGGGCTGAATCATGGGCATCATTAAAGTCCAAATATTGGGGTATGTATTAGTATAAAACGATGAATTTTCGTTGCGTTCCTGTGTCGCGACCTTGAAAATTTACTCCCAGCGCGCGTATAGAAATTTCACTTCAAAAAAAGCTATTTGTCAACTGATAATCAGGCAAGTATGTTTTCATTTTATCAAGTTGTAGTTATTGTATGTGTAATGAGACCAAAATAAACAAACACAATTAATGATTATTAAAAGCATCGTATTCATTCATCAAAAATAACGCACAGCCTATAGATACAATAACAATATGTTTTTGCCTATTCATTTAATTGCAATGGGCTGTAATTTTATTTAAAAAGTAAATTTTATACAATATGACAATTAGGTAATAGGTAACAATAAATTATTTTGTAGTCAAAATAAAAATATCAATAGTAAGTTACAATAATGGGATAAATATTAATATTAGTAAGTATATATTTCTATATACATATATTAAATTTATATATAGAAACTAATTTCTAGATGTAGGTATAGTAAAATATTTTTAAGACAAGAAATAAATGTTAAGCAATATGTACCATAAATTAAAAATGGTTAATTTCAATATCATATGAAACATTCAAATACATATTAATTTTCTAAATTATAATTCATAATTTTAAAAATAAATATTCAGAAGTATGTGGTACGTACAGTGTATTTATGAATACATGCACCTACATAATATAAATTTTAAAATTAAATCTGATGGTATTTCTAAATAGGTAGGTTGATAAATATTTTAAATTACCTATTCATTAGCATTATAAGTAGGTACATTACATGTATTCAAATATATTCATTGGAATGTAGGTTTCCATTTACATTTTTTTTTCAAATTGACCTACTAAAAATTTTTCACATTTTAATAAAATTATCTAATAATAAATAGTGTTTGTATATAATTTAAAATTATTTTTCACTATTCATAGTTCGGATACATTTTCTTTAGGTTTTGATTTTCCAGTCCTGTGAAAAAAAAATTTGCATTGTATAGGTATATATTTAATATGTATTACATAGGTACAATAAATTTATGCATTCATTGATTATAGTGAAATCTGATGATATGTAATAACTGTTAAAAATAAATCCTAACAAGCTCTGTGCCTGTTTCGTCTTATTGTGATATTGGTATTTCAAGTTAAACTTTTTAAATTATAATTTTATAAATAATTTATATTTTTAAAGCTATCATTATTTGTTAATAATAGTCAATAATACATACCATCCAGATGTACTTGGCTTTGTTATGTCATCAGTTTCTAAAACAAAAATTATTTATACTTAACTTATAGTTTTTAATAATTTGTTATAATTTATTAAATTTGAATAACATGTTGAAATTAACTGATTTTTGGGAAAATATAAGCCAAAGGTTAATCTCTAAATCTAAAAGATGTTTTTCATTTTAACTCTAAACATGTGAAAATATCAATTTTTTTTTTTAACTAACTAATAAACATAATTATACATCTTTTCAAATAATTAGACTATTTTTGTGACAGTTAATGTTTTATTTAAAACACTAAAATTCATTTAAAATATACAAAAAATAATAATTTGTGTTGAAAATATGTCAGGCCATTAAAAAAAGTTAATGTACGTATGCGCAAAATTTACTGTTATAAAAAATAGTCTATTTATTTGAAAAGGCGTATAATTATGTTTATTAATTAGCCAAAAAAGCAGAATTGAAATATATGAAGCCTGTACATGGTTATTGAGTGTTCCCACTTATCGTGATCACACGGTGTATAAATAAATTAAAAAAAAAAAGTATATATATATAAAAATATATATATATATATATATATATATATATGTATGTATATATATTGTATTATTGAGTATTTTAATTATTAACCAGTATTTATTTGATGTTGAAAGCGCCAATCATGCTCGCGTAGGTCTATTTCTGTATCGTCGTCCATACTAATTTCACATTTCAATTCCGGTTTTGGTGCAGCCACTTGCAATTCTACCAATCACCACAAAAAAGCTTCTAAAAGTATTACTACTAATATACTAAACCTAATTGTTTTAATTGAATATCTAATACTTACTTCCTTAAATTTTATAAATAATATTAGTATTTATTATATAATGTTAATCATACAATAAGTATCTGTTATAATATATTTTATATTGTTAACGTAATATAGATTTTATGTCTAAAGATTGTTACTTAAAAGCAGTTATAACTAAACATAGGAATTATTACTGAATTTTAATTTTATTATAGTGCTAACTGAATTTTCTTTTTTTCTTTAACTCATATCTCTTGATGATTATAATACATGCAATCTTGATGAATTAAAATTATTTACCTTTTTTTTCATTAGATGTTGAAGGTGCTTGTGTATCTTCAGATGATCCTAAAACATATTTAAGTACATATTATTTTTTACCAAGATATGAGTATTTGTTAGATTTTTTAATCATATTAGTTCTATACAATATTAAGCAGGTTATCATTAGTGTCCTAATGATATTTTAAGTTTGTTTTATTAGCATGCAATGGTTATAACTATCTAAGCTAATAAAGTATAATGGGAATAATATAGAGAAAAATAGAATGAGTTTATGTTCAGATGGAAATGGTCTATATCACAAATCTAATACACGTAATACCTGCAATCTGTGTTGAAGTTTTCTTACTGATTTCAAATCCATCTGGTTCATCCTTAGAAAGTTTTCTTAAACATTTGTTCAATTCATCTTCAGAAACACCTTTACTTGCTGATTCTTCAGAATCAAAAACCATTCGTTTTTTGTACAATTCTTGTAACAAATACGTTCCCACGCTCATCTGTATGTTCCATTTCTTCTTGAAATTCACCAGATGAAAATTGTTCAACATAATTTTCTATTATTTTTTCTTTATCAGGTCCTCTAGCTGTTATTTTATGAATTTCAGCTGGCAATCTTATAAGCTTGTGAGTAAATTCCGTTCCATCTGTTTCCTTTTTATGTGACTCAAAAGTTTCGTGTTCATCAAACCAATCATGTTTTCCTCCTGTTTTATCAAGTCCTTCCATACTAGACACCATTGTATTTGAACCACCACTTGTGAAACTAGAAGACATGTTTGATCCAGTTTCACAATGATAGGTAGCATTTGTTGATGTTGAACTTATTGGGCCTAGAGAATCATTACTGCCTAAAATCAAACTGTTTCTGTATGAAGATTCTTTTGAATGATCATCCATAATTGGACTACTAAATCCACGACTTGAAACACTTGAGTTCATACAGTCATCGTAATCATGTTGTTTTCCTTCAACAAAACTTGTACACGACATTTGTTCAAGAGAAGTTGATACTTTCATGTCAGTAACAATTGTCTTTAAATCTAAAGACTCAGTGCTAGTCAAATTGTCATCTTCTGATTTATGTTTTTCAGAATTATCATCGTTTTGTTCTAGGTTTATTTCAGCTTCTCTAATAATTTCATTTATTTTAAACGTATTATCTTCTCCAGTTAATGATCTTTCAGTAGCTAAGGCTTTATTTTCTATCAACTCAGTTTTAAAACAAGCCGCTTCAATTGTTTCAAAATCTTTGAGAGAAGCTAAGGACAAATCATCTTTTTTACTGTTTGAAGAACTAGTAGTAGATGCTAAAGAACCTGAAGATTTAGCTTTCATTGATTCTATTCTTATTAATTGCTCTAACCTTTCAAATTCTTGTAGGGAATTCACTGATATATTATCATTTTCTAATGATTTTCCTAGGTACTTTTTACTTTCAGGAGTACTGCTAAATGATTCTTTCATGCTGCCAATACTATCGATTGAATGACTGACTTGACTGCCCATACTTCCTACTTTACTACTTTGCAAATCATCAGTATCTTCTTCTTTAATATCTTCAAGCGGAGGTCTTTCATATTCTATATTATACCCATATACTTCATTTATAGTGTTATCGTCTTCAAATTGTAGTTCTACCCATTTTTGATTAGTATATTCTAATTCAAATCGCCCTTTTGAATCTGGACTTTCTGACTCTGATTCATGCGTGGATGAATCAATGTTACTTACAATTTTATGATTTTTTATTATTTTTCCTTCAATAGTTATTGCTTTTCCTTCAGAATCTTCTTCTTTAGCTTCTCTTGCTATTTCTTCAATTACTACGAATTCATCTTCAGAGTTGTCTAGTTTTTCTTCAATATTATCTATTAGTTCGAATGATTCGCTCATGGAAACTGATTCTTTTTCTTCTGTTTCTTCAACATTTTCAAGAACCGTATGATCCTCCCCGGTCCAAGAAGGTTCTTCATGTGGATCATAATCTTCGTTTATTATATATTCTCTACCTTGATCTGTGTCTGATGAATTTTTACTACTTATCGATGCAGGCGTTTGTGGAGTAGACGATTTTATTTCTAGCTCCTTGGCTTCTAGATCTAAGTCCGGATAGTGAAAACCTCGATCAACTAATGGAGCCATGTGCTCTGTTATCATAATATTAGGAACAACATCAATAGAATCATCTTTTAAATCATCTTCGTCTTCTGAAAATGGATCTTCCGGTATTGTAGGGGGTAATGAATTAGGTATTGCTGGTGATACATGCGGAACCATTTGAAAAGCTGCATCCGCTTCGGCAATATCATCGATGTGTTCAAAACTATGTTTGTCAGATAATTGACTTCCGTGTATTTCGTGATCATATTTATCATGTTCTGTAGATATTTTAGTTTCTAAATCAGAAATATATATTTCTTTTGATAATGTGTTATTAACATTTGATTGATTAGAAATATCTTGATTATATTCTAAATGTTGTGTAGGAAGTGTACATTCTTTGGACGGATCTTTTTTATCGGTGATATCTAATTCTTCAACCACTATTTTATTAATTGAACTACTATTTCTTCGATGTCCTTTTTTTTTGTGGTTCCTCAGATTTTGTAGTCATTTGTGTACATACATTCTGATGTTTACCATTTGTTACTGTAGATGATATAATTGTTACATTACACTGATCGTTATTTTGTCCGTATCCATTTCGGGTAGTTAGTGTTTCTACAGATTTAGTGTTTTCTTCGCTTAAACTCAAGCTGCATGTTCCAGATTCCGGAAATCCATTAATTGCTTCAACGACAGTTTGTATTGCTTGGCCTTCAGTACTTGATATACTCATACTTGCATCTTCACTTGAAAATAATTTTTCTTCATGAGATGATGAGTCTGATAAACTGTCACTAGTTATGTGTTTTGGAATCGGATGAAAAGTCATTTCATGTGATCTTTTCATTTTTTGTATGTTTTTTTCACTGTTAATCGTTGGCTGAGAAAATGGTTGTGTTTTATACATGCTATTGTACTTCATTTCGGTTAATTCTGCTATAATTGGTAAGGATTCACCTCTAATGATATGCATTGGTATTTCTTGTTCATATGGCTCTATTTTATCTTCATCTTCTAAAATAGAGTTGGTTCCTTCTTGATCAAAATCTAAATCACCAGTTGATGCAACGAGTGTTTCAGATGCTTCACTATTTTCAACTGATGCAAGATTTCCTGAACTTTCTGAATCTAGCGATTTCATTGATTCTCTTGAGCTCAACGAGCTAATTGCTGTATGATACTCATTTGATGGTACAGAAATAGCAGATTCATATTCCGAAGAACCAGCTAAAAGGCCGTCCACATCTGATGAACATGGTCTACTAGATGACGTGTGGTCAAACGAATGATAATGACTTTCACTTGAGCTTGAATCCGCTGGTCTTTTTGTTGTTAGCTTATTGGTGTTAGTCGAATTAGGTTTTCTTAAGATGACAGTGTCAAAATTTACATGTTTTTCCTCTCGAATATCAATAGAAGATGATGATGGTGAAGTAGGCGAATGAACGGAATTATCTTTCGAAGGGAATGATTCTGCACTTAATTGTTTTGTCAATGATTTTGATGAACCTGGCTCGGAGTCTTTTATTAATGTTATTTCATTTTTATAATTATCTACGGTTTCCTTAATAATGCAAGACTTTTCTCGATATTGTTCTTTTTCTATACCACATATTTCTAAACCACCATCCGTTTTTTGTTCAAAGTATTGTTCTTTCTTTATAAGCTCATCTTTAAAATCTTTACTACAAGTATCAAAGTGTTTTTCATTTGTTTCGACATATGTATTTTTTCCATTTTTATTTTGTTTATTTTCAACTACGAATGTATCTTTATTGTGAGTTTCATGACTATCATATTTTGTAATACCTTCATTGAATATAGATCCATTTTTTAGTTTCTAGTATTTCGTTAGAATAAATAACATCATGAATGTTACTATCATCTTTAGAATTAAAATGTGATCCAAATTCTTGGGTTTCGATTTTTTGATCATTTTCTTTTATAATCATTTTTTTCAAAAACATCAGTTTTAGTATCTTGGTAAAACTTATCGTGTTTTGATTGATGTTCAACTTGTCCGTTTGAAAGCATATCTTTTTTTTGAGATTCTTTTCGTGTTTTATTTTCATTTTGTTGTTCCTTTATATAAGTTTCAACTATCAAATTATCCTCAGCTACTTTGAAATATTCCTCTTTTTCATCGCGCGAAGATTTTTCAAATTCATTAGAATTTGAATTGGTTGTTGAGTAATATTTTTCAGATTTATTGAAATTGTATTCTGGTATACTATGATCAAGTAAACGTGTTTTGGATAATGTGGTATCATATTCTATTTCAAAACCACTACTTTTTTAAGTCTTCGTCAGTAATTTCAATACTTGAAGTAATTGTATCATGTTTTGATATATTTTTCAATTGGTCTCTAGATTTTTTTAGCTAACACTGATTCCATTATTTTTAATTTTAAATCTTCTCCTTCCATGTCCAAATATCCACTATTTTCTAGTTGTTTAAATTGGTCTGGAGACATCATCAAATGATGTAAATTAGCTAAAACATCATGACGTTTTGTTAGTTCAATTTCAATTTCATTAATTAACTGTTCAGCTACACTTCTAGCTAGTTCTCTGGTAATTTCTTTTTCAGTGGTTTTTAAGGATTCTAAAGAATTCACTTTTTCTATATAATTTTGTTGAAATAAACACTGATCCTTAATTTCAATGTTTTCTAATTCCTGTTCATCTGTTCCTAACTGGGTGACTTCCCATATTGTGTCTGGGATATGTTCTTCTGGAGTATGAATAATATGATCTCGCAAATTTGGTGAACAAGCACCTTTTTCATTTTCATTAACTGACGCATTATAGTTTTCATTGTGTAATTCATCATCTATCATTGAAGAATCAATCGATTCAGAAAGTATAGTTGATTTTTCTTTTTCCTCAGCTAAAGAATAGGTATCTGAAGGGATTTCATCTATTTGATCTTGGGTTAGACTTGAGGAATTTTTTTCTTTCGATTGTTTTGAAATAACTTTGTTTATCTTTTCCTCTAGGAAATCATCAAGGACATATGACTCAGCAGATTCTGTTTTCGTAAGTGATTTTTCACTTGTACTACAGGATATTTTATCTGATAACGTATTTTGCAATGAATTTATTGAAACACTTTTTTCACCTTTTAAATCTAAGTATTTTTCTTCAGGTATTAATGAATCTATTTGCTCGTCTAATTCATTTGAAAATATGTGCTTGTGAATTTGACGATTGATAAGATCTTCTTGGCTTGGTGATTGTTGATGTGTTGTGTTCTTTAAAGATTTATGCTCTGGTGAAGATTCTTGTTCCATTTGTATGCCTTCCATTTGTGGTTTAATTTGCTGAAAATACTCTTTGGAAGAAATGGGTTGAACTTGATGAGATGGTAATGACATTGATCTAGTTTTTGGATCTAATTTTATTTTATTTGAACTCCGAGAATATTCTTTTTTAGATGGTAATTTATCTTCAAAAACATCTTCTTGGTAACCTTCATTTTCAAAGGCTAATGACTCTTCTCCGTATTTATTAATATACTCGGTTTCAGAATCTAATCGTTTAATTTCTTTGCTATTTTTTTCTTCTAATAATGGAGTATGTGGATGTTTATTAAGTGATTCAGATTTTTGGCAAGTTAATTCAGAAACTACAAGGTTTTTTGTAGTTTGATTACTTGTCATTGATTTTTTAATCATTTCAGGTATTTCTGCATTATCAGAAGCACTGAATGAGTTTTCAATTAGTTCCAACGAAGAATTTTTCATTACAGATTGTTCTGAGCTTTGTATTGGTAATGAAATACTATATCTAGGTTTAGGTAAAGGCGGTTGATTAGTTTTAGCTATTTCTTCCCAAAATTGTTTTTTTGTTGAATAGTCAATATCATCTTCATCTATAGAAGATGTAATACTACTCTCAATGGAATGTCTAGGATTCGGTATAGGTGGGATTTTATCTACGGAATTTTGAAGTACTATGTTGTTGGCGTTAGTTGTTAATTCTGGGCTGCGCTCTGTACACACAAATACATACAAACAAAATACAGGATTAGAATATAGATTATTTATTATTTACATGGGTTAACTAACTATCACAAACTCGCCAAAAAGATCAAGTTCTGGGATATTTTTATGTTATATGGATTAAAATTTTAATTAAAAAAAATATTGTAGATATATCATTGACGAGTTATTCTTAATTCTAAAGTGATACCATTTTGTTTTGTTATACGTTGGTATATTTGTATATTTGTTATATTTTGAAATAATTATAATATTATAAAATACATTCGATTTGGAACCTAGAAAGATTTTGTATTCTGTGTTTTTGAATATGTATATAAAATTACCAATTGATAAATATGTATAATATATTATTTTTTTTTTTTTTTTTTACTGTTGTTAGTATAAAAGAAGCGTTATTTTTATATTTAACTTCTAAATGCATTTTAATTTACCAGCTCCATCCCAAATTTGATTTGCAACATCGACTTCTTCATTTGATAATTGGGAAATAATTCTATGATATTCTCCCTCTACAGCTTGCTTAGCAATTGGACTATCTTCTAATGTTTCTGAGGCTATGCGTTCAAATCTTCTCTCTACTCTTTTTAAAGTTTTTTCTGCAACATCTGTATCTATTTTAAACGTCATATCTTCGATATCATTTGTTTGATTTAGAACTGATGGAGGTACATTGCAGACTTCTAAATCATCGTCACTGTCACTTTGTCCTGGGTAAAAAATTTCATCATCTTCCGATTCTAATCGAAATGTGACTTTTCTACCCGGTGATTTCTCTTGAGGCTCAGTTACTATATATTCATTATCATTATCTGATTCGCTATCGTATTTGTGAATTTCTCTGAGTGTAGGTCTTTGGTTATTTGACAATCTTTGAGAACCACCGACACCATTTCTACGAAATGTTGGTGAAGATATTATAGGAACTGGCGAAGAAGAATCTGACAGTGTTTCAACATCTTGAGTTTCACGAGGATCTGAATCAGAAGACCCAGAAGATAACTCTCCAGAAGCTGCTAATTTTGCTGTTTCTTGTTCAATTAACATATCAATAAGAATATTAGTTAAAGTTTCATCATGGTTACCAGGATCACTTAACATGGTTTTTAATTTTTCTTGTACAGTATCTGGAGATATTTTTGAATAATCGACTGGTTTCCATTCATCTAAATGTTCATAGTCATCGGGTACAGTGTTCTCTGATGGAGTTCTTACCATTAATGGTCTTATTTGAGTACGATCGTTTTCTGAAAACGATTCTTTCTCAAAATATTTATTCATAAATTAAAAATTAACGTCCTTACTTTAATTTTTATATTTTTCTTTTTAATGGTAGGAATTTTAAAGGAATAAAAGGAAATAGCAGTTAGTAGCATTTTGTTATAAATAAATCCAGTTTAACACTTCAAAACAATACTCCTCACCTGTGTTATCATGTGGTAGCCATATACAGTAACCAGAATTATGATCGTTTGATATTGATTTTTTCTTTTTCGGAGTAAAGTAACATACTTGAAAAGATTCGTGTAACGAGTTTTGTGAACCAGATAAATATACATGACGTTCTGATAAAGGTAGACAAGGCATTGATCTATTCCACCATCGATACGGTAAACTTGCTGTATTAAAATTACTACGAAAACTAGGCCCTGGTGTTTCTTGATTTTCATCTTTATTAGGTGTTTTTGAAAATTCATGATAATTAATTGTTTGTTTAATACTATCTAGTGAATTACGTATTTGATCTTCTTGATCTTGGACATCATTTAATAGTTGATAAATAGTTTTTTGAAGCTGATCCAAGCTATTTACATCATTTATTAAGTTTTCTGATTCTGATTTTTTCTTATTCAAATTGCATGTTAATATAAGATTTTCTTGCATTTCTACTTTATCTTCCAAAATTTCTATGGCTTTTACTAATTTTGCAAGCTCCTCTCTACTGCGGTTTATTGCTCTATTGAGTAAAATATTGTCAAAATCATCTGATGACCTGTTGTTGCCGAAAATTTCGTTTGAAAAATAATCTATAAGTCATGTTATTCTAATTAAATTATTTACATAATCAAATACCACACATCAAACTATACATACATATTTAATATTTATAATTTATATTTATAAAAGTATACGAGTATATCGTATTATCTTAAATTGTAGTGCTATACATTTGATTAAATAATATATATTTATCTATTGTGAAATTATTTATTGTTAGTAATTTAGTTTATTATCTAAATGTCATACAACATTTTATTATGTTGTATAATGTCAAATAAACGTATAACAAAACTTATTAGTGCACAATATTATATAATTCAAATTTATATCTAAGCGTTAACTTTTTTCTAAAAAAAAGCTATTTGAATAAATAACTATTACAATGAGCAAAGCAGGGAATTGGTATCTTGTTATTTTTACTTGGAAATAAATTATATTTTAAACAGTTTTCGTTAAAACTTCTATGGTTCACTGAATTTATTTTTAAATATTATTTCATCAATAAGAACTCACCAGAATTATTTATAGACTTTGCATTTTGTTGTTTGGTATGATTGACTTCATCTCCTATAATATAATTAAAAATATTAATAATATTTACAACAAATTAAAAGAAAGTAGTTAAAGTATTTAATTATGTTAGTGGTTTAGCTGTTAAATATATATATAGTTTGAGTACTAAATAATTTAATACAAGTTAGTGTTAATAATTAGTTAATAAGTAAAATTTATATTTTTAATATTTTATTTTATTTCATGGCTTACAGATAATTGATTTGGCTGTTAATTTAGACCATCACCTTTTTCATAATTTAATAATAATAATTATGGTCTGTATTTACCGATTAGGATGTTTGTTTGAATACACATACAATTAGGTTTTTGATTTAAAAAAACTTTTCTTTAAGTCATTATTTGATTTAGATAACTTTTTGAAATTGAATTTTCGTCTCAATTTAGGACTACCGCTCATACTTTCAAAAATATTAATTACATTCGAAACATGATTTTGTGTATCAACCTTAATATGCTTTTGTTCCTGGTTTTTTTTCTGATACTTTTTGATTAAATATCTTGAATGCCGAGAGACGTGTTACAGGTGAAGGGTATAATCTTTCTATACTTGTACATTTATCTTTAAGGGAATACATTTTTACCAATGGATTTTTTGACATATTAATTTGAGTTTGAAATGGTCTGTTAATATATAATTGTACTATATTTACGGGTTGGACAAAATTATATACTGTTATGTAAGTAAAATATCTATTTTGTAGGATTTTCATTGTTCCATAAGTGAATAAATCTACTTCAAACTGCCGTTTTGAATCATATAAGCTACTCCTTATAATATATCCTGGTTCTAACGGCTCTAAAATATTCAGATTATTATAATTTAATACAGCCCTACCTGTCATGATTTCATTGTTACACCATCGCATTGATAGATTTCCGAAATGCCTACCGACGTTTAATAATACAGAGTTATTGCTTTCAAAATCAATAGATATACTGATATCATTTTTGTTATCGTGTATAACAAATTTATTATTAGTTTTTTGATGTTTAATTCTGTTTTGTTCAATATTTTGATTTTGTTTTGGAATCTTTATTTTGTTTAAAGTAGGTTCGGATGTGTACTTTGATAATATATTTTTTTTAAATTCTTCTGGAGGTTTTTCTGAACTTTCTATAATTTCTGAATTACTACGATTCTTATGACGAAATCGTTTTTTACCAAATTCTGATTCTTGCATTACATTTTTTTTTTTGTTACTAATAAACGATTTCTATATTTATGTTTGCATTGTTCGTGTTTAATAGATTCTACTGAGTCCACAACACCTACATCTATATCATGATAGTAAGTATTATTATTTTTTAAATATGATTCTTGTTCTCCACATTCATCAGCTGTTATAATTTCTTCCTCGGAATCAAAACCTTTGACTTCTTCATTTGGAGTTTTAAGCCAAATTGGATTAGATTCTTCCGTTGGAGTCAATGAACGCACATTTCCATCTTTTGAATGAAATATAATTTCTTTATGCGGCTGTTGAAAATAAGATGCCGATTCTAAATATTTTTCTGTTTGTCCCATTTCGTTGAATATTTCCTTATCACCAGTAAAATTTTCCGTATCTGTATGTTCTTCATTAACCTTACTGTTTTTTTTCGTGTTCTTCATCTTCACTTAAATCTTCGACATCTGTTAAAATAAAATAATTTATTAGACCTGGGCTAAGATTTGGAGATCGTATGTAGTATTTTTCATCATCTGAATCCGATATAACTTCAGTATCTGTAAGATTATTGAAATCTGACAAAACTGGTGAAAGGGACTTTGATAAACTGTTTGTAATAGGAGATTTTAGTATAATTTTTGATTTTTGTTTGGTAATATTTGGAGAGACTGATCGTGGCTCGTATGTATTCATATTTTTCTCATGTGTTGCGTTAAATAAATTTGTAACTTCAATATCATCTTCGTTGAATTCATATGCTGTTATTGCGATTTGAGGTACGTTGTTTTTACTTTCTTCTGACATAATATCTATTACTGAAAATTGGTATGATTTTCTCAAAGCTAAATTCCAATTTATTGATGAATCAAAAATGTTTGTATTTATCTGTGGAAATAATGCACCCATTAATTAAATGAGTTAAGATTTAGAAATTCTTGTGAAATTCTAAATAGAGATTTTAAAGCTTTACCACATTTAAACAATATTTTTTAGATTTTGATTAAAGCGAGAATGGTATTTTTATTATTATCTGTTAAATATTTGTCGTATAAGCCTTTACTATTTATTATATTATCTTCTAATTATACTTGTAATTTTATTCCTAAGATAATATAAATAAGTTTACATTCACATAATATGTACAAAGTTGTCATAATTATATAAAAAAAAATTAATATTTGTATAATTAAATACAAAGATCATTCAAGTTAACCTAATATTTATATTTTATACCGAAAATGAATATTAGATTAATAAAGAAATTCTCTTTCACAAATGTGTTAAACTTATATTTATAGGCTTAAATAAATACTCAATATATGCCCGGACACAAATTCAAGTTGTATTTTTAGTATATAATAAGAAGAATAACTATTTTAACCAAGGTTACTAGCCAATACTAATTACTTCATTTATTTTTTAAAACCCCATAGTTTAATTCTCATACCGTGATATTTATATACATTATTTTGATAGTTATACGTAGTATACTGCTATAAACTTATAGTTTTTGATTATTCATGTTCATTAAATATTAATGCACATTTAAAATTATTTTGTTGTTTAAGATTTGATTGTCAAGTGGTTGTAATTTAAATAATGTTGGTAAAGCACATGATGATTGAATGTTTGTCATTCGTAGATCTACTCTTAAGATAGAATTAGCACTGTACCGTGTCCATTAAAATGTAGGACAGACCCAGTTATAATCATTTTAATTTATATAGGTACACATTTTTTTTTTTTCGTTAACTTTTTATATAATTTTCAAATATAATTAAAAAAAATGATCATATAATATAAATGTATATAAAATATAAATATATAAATGTTATATATAATATAATGTAAAACAATTCATCCTGTTTGACTTTTTAATAATATTTAAAAATACTAAAAAGTAAATAATAATGATGTAAAAAAATATTAATAATAACTATTTGAAAACATAAGAGGCCCGGGCCTACCAGGCCTACACTTTGGATTGGTAATGGAGTTTGGGATTTAATACTTTAGTACGTTTACTATGATTTTATTATTTAGTGTAGAGAATTTTAGATTTTTTAAGGTACCAAATCTTGATGAAAAAAATGACAACATTTCACCGTAGTATGTATTTAAACAGCAAATAATTTTGTTTTTATTAAGAATCCAACTATTAATACTTAAATCTTCCCAGCCAAAGCTTAACCATTTGTGAAAATTTAAATTTAAACTGTCTTGTTGTGTATAGTCACACGGATTTTGTTTGTACATACATAATTAAATATAAAGTCACTAAATAGTAATAATCAAATTTAGACTCTAAATACGTATTAATATTAGAAGTATTCGTAATAATTTTAGCACTTAGGAAATATTACGAAAACATTTTATGAAATATAAATTTCGACGAAACTTGAACTATTTACACGGCCATCACGGTTATCTGGTTTAAACTATAATAATTTCAGTTTGGTCCAGATTTTAAAATATAAATAATCGGTTTGGTTTAGACCAGTTGGTCCCAACTCGTTTAAAATGCATTGAATAATAATTTTACTTTTAAAGATATTATTTATAGAATTAATAACACGTATATTGTTAATATTTTATCGCTGTGCCGTTGTTTCGTGAACTTAGTAGGTATACATTTTAATCCTGTTCATGGTATCTATTAATAATTATTATTGAGAATATTTTTAAGAACAATAGTTGCAATTATTCTCCTTAAGTTGCGGGCGACATGGAAGGGCTGTATACAGCTGCCGTGCCGCACGCACTGATATAATTATAATTATGAATAGAAGTATTTACCTTTCTGTGTACTACATATCATTAATTTTGTACAGTCTTGTATCTGCGAATAGATTAATTCTATACCAATTACCACTTTAGTGGTATAATTCAAAACTTTCACTATTTGAATTTTTTTTAGTTTGATTTGTTTTTTCCGCTAAATCAAATTATATTATATTTTTTGTTCGGTAAGGTAGAAAAAAAAAATTGAAATAGGTCCAGTCCGGTTTATAAACTATTATAGTCAGAAACTCGTTTGTTTGGACCGATGATACGGTTTTGGTTCACTCTAACAAATTATTTTAAATTTTAAGTCCGGTCTGGTTTGACAAAAAATTAGTAATCGGTTCGTTCCGATTTTGATTCTTAGTAAAAATTTTCAGTCTGATCCGGTTTCTAAAATTATAGACTATACAAAACACTTGTATATATATGAGTGCCAATTGTAATTGTATAGGTAGATTGTTTTAGAATATTTTTTAAGCCAATAATATTTTTATTAAAGCAAATGTTTAACCTTGGCAAATTTTACTTTTTCTTTTCTACAGCACTCATATTTTTAGAATGATCTTTAATGTATGTTTTTACTTGAAATGTTTATGTATAAAATTTCAAATATCAATATGAATGCTAAATTAAAAACAATATTATGGTTTAAAATTGGTACGGAGTATCAATGTAGCTTTTTTTTTATTATTATGTATCTATAGATCTAAAAAATGTTAAAGTATAAAAAATTAATAGTAAATGTATAAAATGTAGTCTTAAGGTACTTTTAAAATATTTGTCTAAACTGAAATTACACGTGTTTAATTTTAAAATTGTCGCGGAAGATAAAGCATAAATATTTTCTATTTAAAAAATTATACATATTTTGTTGATTATAAATTTCAGAATTTCAAAATATGTAAACTTTTTGATACATTTTGAAGGAAAAAAAATAGTATATACCTCGGAATCTCGATTGGTGTCTGAGTTCGAAGAATGAGTCGTTTCGTCGTCTTCTAATGATACTGATTCAGTTATAGAAGTAGGTTGTTGTTCGGACATTGATGAACTAGGAGAACGTGTAGGCTGTTCATATACTAATTCTACTGATGACGCGCGATCTGAAGAGCTCGAAAATACTTCTGATGTAATTAAAACTGAACTAATTTTTTTATCCGCCTTAAAACATCTGTGAGCTGGACTTGCTGGTAAAGATGTAGGACTTAATTTTCTTGGTGAAGACGTAAAATCAAATCCACTTCTTTGTGATGGTGCACTCAGTATTCTTGGATCAGGCACTGATGATGATCGTATAGATTTTGTGTTTAAAAGTGACAAATTTGTTTTGACTGATATACTTGAATTATCTTTTATCGGTATTCTTGATGGGGAAGTTGGTAGTTTCTTTTTAGTATCGGATACTACTCGCTCTCGCTGATAGTTTGTAGAAATAGCTGATGATTTATTTTGTGTGTGAGAAGTTGCTTTCAGTTTTAAATTTCTTGATTCAGTAGATAACATATAACTTTTGAGTCTAGGTTTGGAAGTGGATTCAGGTATATCTGAAACTTGTTTTTTTTTTAATATTTCATTAACATTTGTTTTTCGATGCTTTTCCATTTCTGGAACCATTGACTTTTTATTTGGTGTTTGATTCATGGTCAATGGTTTATGATCCTTTTTAGAACTTTTTTCTTGTGATGTAAAAGAATGTTTATTTGATATTAAAGTATTACTCACTAAAGATTTAGAATCTACTTTGGTGTAAGATTTTTCAGAAGAAACAGATTTATTATTAGTTGTAGAGCTAATTAATTTTACGGATGATTCTTTTAATATTTTTGTAGGATTTGATAACTTTGATGAAGTTATTGATTTATAACTTCCACGAAACAATTGACTGTTTTTATTTTCTATATTTGATCCATGTCGAATGCTTGAAGTTTTTGTAAATGATTGACTAGTAGATTGACTTTGAGATACACTTGTAGATTTATATTCACTTTTCGCATTGTCGAAGGTAGTTGTTGAAGATGATAAAGTATTTCGTGATATTTTTTTAGAAGAATTAAATGTTCGAACATCTTTTGATTCAGCATCAAATTTTGATCTTAAAATATTTTTCGATTTCATATTATTAGGTTTTGTACCAAGATTCTTTATTTGATGGGAAACATAATTATTTTGTAATAATGTCTTCGATTCGATTGAGGAGCGACTAGTTTTAGTAGTCTGAGGTCTTGAAACATTTGATTTATTAGATAATGATTGGAATTTGGAGACTGAAGATGAATTAGATCGCAACGAAGAATTAAGAATGACCCCACTTGTTTCAGATTTGGAAGACACTCTTTTAAAGCTCTTATCACTGGTAGTTCCAGAATCATTATTTTTCATAGAAGATACAAAACCTGATTTTGTAATCTCAGTTTTTCGTATACCATACGACTTTTTAATTTCACTTTTGTCTTTCATATTGCTATCAATAGAGTGCATTTTACTAGATGACAAATTGGAAATATTCACTGGTAAACTGTGGTGAGTTTCACTTGTGAAATCAAGTAAAAAATTATCAGAAACATCTTTAAATTTATTATTCATATTACTCTCAGAATTATCTATAACCACCTGGAAATCATAAGAAATAGATTTTCTATCTGTATCCTTAAATTCGCTGAAAGAAAAATTATCAACATTCTTTGCTTCATCCAAACTTTGCTCAAACTCAAAATCACCAAATGTAGCCGATTCAACACTCATAAATTTACTAAAACTCTGGTCTAAAATTAAACCAGACTCTTCAGATTCAGTTACATCTTTTATAACACTTTCGGGGAATTGTGAGGTTGGTAAGTGATCTGTGGTCATATCTGTTATTTCGGATTTAATATCTGATTTGTCGGATGTTATCTTGTCATATATTTTATCGGATTTTTCTTTAAAGTTTATCGTTTCACTTTTATCTTCAGATGAAGGAATTTCAGTGGATTCGGATTTAGGTTTTTCAGATAGATGTATATCTGTGGATGGAGATATTAATTTATCATCTACTTTCTTATCGGAAATGACGGTTACATCCTGAA